GCCGCTTGCGCAAGGGGGTTGCGTGCGTGCCCCGGCCCCAGGGCTCGGGAGGAGGCCAGCGTCATTTGCGTTAGATTTCTTCAGCTAAGGTTGGTTCGCTGGGGGGGTTTTTTGACAAAAATTGAGCGTACTGGGGCTGCTGATACATAAATGGGAGGTGTGAGAAACGGTAGCTGCAGTGCCACAGGGCAAGGGATTTTTGTCTTACTTGCTAGGACTAATTCTATTTTTGTATCGTTTTAAAAAAATTTTTTACACGTATGTAACTAAACTTTTTTTTTTTTTTTTAACGTATGTTGACTCAGTTTTTACTATCCTTGCCTGTGGAACTGGTACCACCTAAGAGACTGTGATAGGTAGAAGGTGGAAGTGGCTTTTTTAGCTGTCTCAAGCAATACAAGAAGGAGCTTGGCCATAATAGTGAACTGTTAATGAGCAAGCCAATCCGCTTCATGAGAAAAAGAAAAACAAAAAAAAACCAAACCCCAAAGCCTTTCAGTTTTCTTCTAGGCTGCAATTTAGCCAGAATCTGTGTAGGTACACTGGAAATCAGGAACAAATTTATGTGGTTCTTAACCTCCAGTTACCCAATCTACTCAAAGCACCAAAATTAACGAAGTTTACCATAATATTTTATCAGGTTTACCTTATAATTACTTTTCTGCATAGAGGGGACAGTGCAACACCATCTACCTTTTCTCACATTCCTCTGGCAGCATTTTCTTCTGCAGTTATGTCCAGTAAGGCCAACCTTCACTCTGTCCTTACGTTTTGATAGTTAAGACATCCCCATAGCAATCGTAATCCCATTTTGTATTTTATATATTTGCTTAGAAAAGTATTTTTTATGCAGTTATGAACTATGGGAATATTTGGGAATCAAGGCTTTGAAATTACTTTTTAGAAACAATGGAAGTATTCTGATTATTTTACTCATCCTAACCCAAACTTTCTAAGTCCAAGCAAATTTAATCAGTGCTGTCATGGGAACTAGAGGGAGCTATGAGTTTCATTTGAGAACAAACAAAACAACCCGCAAATGCTGATATTTTGACCACTGAGGTGTTTCCTGGCTGTTCTGTAAAAAAAAAAAACCCGCTAAGTTCATCACCTTCTGCAGTGCCAACAACAGAGACAGATGAACAGCAGCTAACCTGACATTTTCTTGTTCCATCTCTCTCTCATTTAGCATCAGATAACCCCAGAAGCAAGGGGACTGCAGAGGGTTTATTTAAAAGGATCTTTTTTTCTTTCTTTTTTTAGGAGCTTCATTGCAGAACATAATCAGTTACTGGCTTAATTTTGCACTAATGTCAACCATATATCACAAAAAAAATTCTTACCTTTTTGATAATTCTCATCACTGCTGAAAATACAGATTTTATCGATTCCCCGATCTCAAGAGCATTCAGGCACAGAAGTATCTGATACATCCAGCCTCCTTCTGGTTTGTTCATAAGAGAAAAAAAAGGTTTTGCATTACAATTGTTAATACAATTCCAACTAGTTTTTTTTTAAGATTGTAGATTTATTTTCCTTAAAATTAAGAAACTTAACACTTACCATTACTTGGCACGTAGTTCTGGATGGCATCTGAGAAAGGCTTTTTGACATCAAATGGAGAGTCAACTACTGAACTGTCCCTGTTTTCTTCAGAATTTACTGAAGGAATTGCTATTGCTTTTGAATGTTGTTCACTGTCACGTTCACTGACTACAGCTGCATCCATTTCGTGTTCCTTCTCTGGTGTTTCTTCTAGTAGCTTTCTTCTACTGCCTAGTCCTGCAAATAATTGTGAAGGAAAATCATGCTTATTTTCAGAGGATTAAACTTACACACACACACACACTTTTATAAGATGAGATTTTGAGGTGATTTTTATTTTATTTTCCTCAACTTAAAGCCAAACACTAGAGTGCTACATCAGAGTAAAAATGTGCTACAGATTTATGATTTAAGAAACACTGGTTCAAATAATGGTCTCAGAGTTTGGAGGGTAGAGCTTTAAGCAAAACTGGTGATGTAGCAAAGTTGTTAAAATCAATGTTCAGAAAAAAAATATGCTTGGTCTTGATAGTTAGCCTATAGATTCCCTGTTCAGGATTAGTAGGTCTCTTTCTTATATCCAAAAACAAGTGGGAAAAGCTTTACAAAAAGAACAATTAAAAATGCCATGTAGGATTAAAGATTAACAACTTCCCACAAGACAACAAACTTCACTGTGAAATGCAAGAAACCACAGGCACATTCATGCCAAAGTATGACTGAAGGCACCTAGCTGCCTCAGTTTCAGTGACTCAGAGTAAGTTTTCTGATGCAAATAAAACACTGCTTTCAAAACCCCCCACACCTTGCTTACCTGTGTAGAAGAAAATATACCATTTACAAATTGATTAACTTTTAATTCTATGCTTCAAGCCACTAGTGGCCAAAGATGCCTGGCACAAATAGCCCGATAGTCCAAAATCGGGAAGAGTAACTGGCTCTTAAACTGTTACCATTCAGTCTGTATTATCAGATCCTCAAAATATCATAAATCAGTCCTTAACTACAATGGGTTAGGCTTGCTACCCCTTGATTTTAAATCACCAGAAGGAGACAATGCTGTGTTGTATTTTTTTCCTCAAACAAAGCATATTTTGTTCTTGCTAAATCACTGTTAGTGAAGCATTAGTCCAGTACCTTTAGCTGCAGTTTGGGGTGCACACTTAATTGTTACAGCAGACAAAAGCTCTGGCAGCTCTAGAAGAACATTCCTTTTTTCCATACATTTTTCCTGCCCAGTGTCCAAATTGTGCCCCTTTTGTGCAGACACAATCACTTGTTTCCTCTGCATAACCTTGTCTTTGCTTGTAAGCTGTGATTTCGTGATGAATCTTTTCAAACTGCTGGTTCAGCTGCATCAGTTTGTTTCCTCACAGAGGTGCTCTAAGGGTTCCTTAACATCTTGTTTTAACTTCAAATAAGATTATTGGAATGTAATCAGTGAGTGTATATCATACAATATTTAGTTTTTGCTTGGGTTTTGGGCCATGAGCTCTGTCTGCCCTAGGATGATTTTGTCAGTTTCCTTGTTTTCACTGGATTCTGCAGCAGTATTTTTTCCAAAATGCCAAGCTGTCCTTCCTCAAATTTATCTTGGATGATTTCTAAATCTATTTTATCATTTTCTGCACCTTCTACAGATTTAGTAGTATCTTCTTCTTGTTCAGATTCCTTTTCTCTTAACTCCATCTCATTCCTCTGTGTAGTATTTAATTCTGCTGGTCCTAGTGTCATCTCTATTTTCATTTCTTGTGTTTTGTTGTTTGTTTTTTTTACAAAACATGTATCCTCAGACTTTTTTCTACAGGCTTTATTGTTAGTTTTACTAAATATATTTGCAAAGAACCCCAATGGCCTGGTAAAAGCAGTACCTGGAACCCTTTCTGTTAGAATATAATTTTTATTATTTATATTTCTGGACTTTGACTCTTTCTCATTTTCAGATTCTTTCTTTTTTTCTTGCCCTGTCCTATCTTGTTTTAGTAGCAGCAATTAATTTTTTAGTATTATCCATCCTTTCAGTTATCTTCTTTTTCAACAGATACTTTATCATCCAGGTTTCTGAGCAATCCCAGGTTACTGGGATTTACTGAATCTGTTTTTTTTTAATAGCAGCCTGGCATTCTAGTTTGAGGGTTTTAGGAGACACTAACTGTAATGGTTTTGTTTTTTTTCTTTAAAATTGTCTTCTATTTTAGAGGGCTTCTAGGGTAAAAGTTCACATTCAGTCAGACTAATGCCACGTGACTGCTCTGTTGCTTTTATTGTCAATAGATTTTCTTTATAAATTTTTTTTGGACTTGGATTCTACTGAAGACTTTGGTATTACTGTGGCTTTTGAAGTAGTGTTTGATGATGCCTCCCAAAACTCAGATTAATTTTCTGGTTTTTTATCTTTCACTGTCATAACGGCTTGAATTGATGGGCCTAAATCTGATGATCCAGAATAATCCTTTCTTTTACTATATCACATGTGATTTTTATATTTCTTTCTAAGATCTGGATTAAGACTGTCTTCTGACCCATTCTCTGGTACCAGAAGCTCATGGTGAGAACATGAATCTTCCCATGTTATTTCTGCTTCACCTTTCTGATGATGTTGCACATTCACAGGAATTTGTTCAGTTTGTAGCTTCCCTCCTGACAGACTATCAGCAAGAGCATCAAGTCTTGTCCTATCTTTTACTAATCTGGTAGATGTTGTTGGGGTTTTTTTCCCTGTTTGTCATTTTGCACTGCCAGCTGAAGAGAAAGATCATTCTTTCTGGAAGTATCTGCATTACTGTTATCTGATCCGCTAGGTTTAACCTTCTGATTTGAGGTGCCTTCAGTTTCTTTTCCCCATAGTATTTTATCAAGGCTTATTACCAAGACCTTTTTTCATTATGGAAACTTAGCTCTTCTATTCTCAGCAAGCAGTTTTTACCTTCCATTCTGAAACTCCATATGTTTTCCAAGTGGCCCATTTCTTCAGAAGCTTTGGTACCTGTTAAACTGAAGCCACTAGATGAAGGGTGAGGAGAGGAAGGTTGGTCTGGAGTCAGTTCTTGTGACTCCTCAGATTTCTGATCCTGTTCATCATTAAAAATATCCCATCTGAAATCTCTGATGATGTTTTCATAAAAATGCAGTGGGTTGTTTTTATTCTCTGGTTCGTGAATTTTCTCTTTTACATCACCATCCATTTTGAACTGGCTTTTCGATGCTGATTTTTGTTTTGTATCACAGCATTTGGCTGGTTTGCCTTTCTCAGATGTTTCCAGAGTAAGACTCAGCTCACTGTCACATGGGGTCTTCTTGATGCCCAGATGATTCTCTGCAGTTCCTGGTAGTAAATGTGGAGAATCTTTGGAGAGGGGGTCACTATAATCACCTTTTATATTGGTGTTTTCCTGACTTTCACTACTCCTAGAAACATGTTCTTCGGCACTGGAATAACTAAACAAGGGTACATACTGTCTTTGAGACACTTCAGGTTGTGCTAGTGTTTCAACAGGTAAAATTTGTGAAGCATCACTGCTGCTAATTAATTTGACAACATGTTTTGCTTTTTCATTACTATGTTCATTATTTTGCACAGCTAATGAGGAAAACAGATTGCTGTCTTGGATTGCACCCTCATATTTTTCAGACAGCTCCTCACTAACTCTCTGGTTTACTTCTACTTTCATTGCTCTGTTATTATTTCCTTGTGATATTTCATCATCATTTTCAGTTTGAGAGGTTTCTTCACTAAAAAACACATCATCTTGCAAACTCTGCACTTGCTCTTCTGTGGCTGTTGAACTCTGAAACTTCAGTATGTCTGCAAAATGACTAAAAGAGAAGAAATGGCTCTGTTCCTCAGCTATGTCAGGCTTTTCTTCTATATTTTTTGTGTCTGAGGGATCACAATTCTGAGGTGGGCTAGGAGAACAAGAAATCTGATCTGATGCAATTGATTCATGTCCCTGTTGATTATCATATGTGTCTATATTATAATTAATAAAGCTATTATAGATATTTGTATACCAACCTGACTGACCGTGTTTGCTTTCTGACTCATGATTTCTCTTTTTAGCTTCAGTGTTTTTCAGCAGTTGGCTTTCTGATACTAAGTCTTGTTCTGAACTGTAAGGTTCAATTGGCTTCTCTTTGTCACCTGTTAGTATATCAAAAGATGATTCTGAGCTTTTTGAGGTGCTTCTGGTGTAATTAAGAGTGTGCACACTTGCTGGTATCTCCCCAGGATTTGGCATGTTACTGTTTGAATATATTATTCCTTGTGCATAATTCTCTTCATCTGTCACTGCTTTAACCGTCTCCTTTGATTCTTTGTCCATGTGCAATTCTTCCTGGTCTGAAGTCTGTACTTCTTCATCCTTACTTGTTTCATCCTCTGTTTCTCTGCTTTGCTGGTCTTCTATAGCAATTGTATCTTTGTCAACATGGCCGAAATTAAGAACATTACTTAAACCCAAATTAAACCAATTTGATTTGGATTCTTGGCTTTCACTCTTTTCTTCTTCTGTCAGTAACTCTGTGACTGCTGTTTCATGTTCATTATTGGAATGTCCAGGCACAACAGAAACATCATGGATTATTTGTGGATCATTTTCTTCTGATGCCAAACCAACATCCGCATTCTCTTCACCAAAATACAGAAAGTCTGTCAGTCCACCTTGAAACCAAACAGATGCTGGGGGTTCTTGTTCCTCCTTATCATTTGGCTCCTGTAAGTCATTTTCAGCAGTTACCACTATTTTTCTGCCTCTGTATGTATTTTCTTCTGAAGATTCAGTAATGGCTTTTAAGGGCTCTTCATCATTGTTACTTTCTGTGGTGAACCATCCTGCAATCCAACTAGACTGAGTTGGGATGGGTTCTAGTGGGAGACTGGTTTGAAGTTGTGGCTCTTCAGTATGACCTTTTCTGTTCTCATTTTTTCTAACCGACTTTTTGCTTGCTGACTCCTCCTGAGCGTGAGATTCCTTGGAATCATTTTCAGAAACCGAGACAACTCTTTCTTCTTCTTGCATGGAGTCTCTTGAATGTTTTAAGACTTCATTTTCGTGCAGCTTTGATTCTGCATCAGATGATGAATATTTACTTTCTTTGTTGTGATCATGTAATGCGCTATCTTCATTTTCAAAAGCGTACTTGTCTCCATGAAGACAAAGGAAATCAGTTTCCTGAAAGAACAATAATAACTTCTGAAATGTTTTCATGTGTAATTTTCTACAGCACTGTGTAGCACACCAATATGTCTTTATTCTCTTTCTGTGTAGTTACACATGTGTATAACTTTACACAAAGGGCTGTAACTATACTATTCCTAATGGTTCTATATAATTTATTAGATAAAAATTATTTTAGAGGACAATAAACATGCAAATGGAGCAATAATAAAAAAACATGTTTTTAATTATCTGAATAAAATATGCATTGACACTTGAATTCCTAACTAGGTATTAGATTTTAAATTGCTGTGATCTACATTGGAAAATCTGGTGATGTTGGTTTACCTTAGTGAGCACTTCAACTTCTTCTGCAATAAAAACTTCTTCAACCTTCACAGCATCTTTTGGGAAATATCCAAAATCCTTTCCTTTCTGTAAAAAATATAAATGGAATGACAGCATTTAAACTTCAGTGATAAGTATGTTAGGTGCTTGCATATATGCTAGAAAAGTATGAATAAACAAAGAATAAGTTTATAGGACTGCCCCTTACCCTTTGTTTGGCCAAGAGATTGAGGTTTTTTTTCCTTCACACATTTGACATTTCAGAAAGCAAGGGCAATTATGTTGCTTCATACTGTTATTTTCTGTATTATTTTCATGAACCTGTGTTTGTGCAGAACCAAACCAGTAGCCTTAACACTGCTTCAAAAGAAGACAGTGTTGTGTGCACAGGTGGTCTCAGCCAGCTCCTACTAAAATTGGCTGCAAATTTCCCATTGACTTAGGTGGGAGAAAAATTGTGCCTTAGTAACATATGACCCATAAGTTGCAAGAAAAGTAGGATGTGAAATTCAGATATGAGGCCAGCTGCAGCTGAAGAGAAAATGGCAATGAAGATGGCAACACTATGGGAAATAAGTCGATGGTAATGCCCAAAAGAATGAAGTAAGGGTCAGTCTGACCTAAAAACCAACCACTAGCTTTACATCAAACCGTTGCTCATAGTCTTTAATGGAGGAATATGTCTTAGAAAGCAAGGAAGAGTAAGGTACCTGCAAAGATACTCTCAGATGAAAAAAAAAAAGGAAGATAGAATTTCTCTGTTAAGCAATAAATGTGACATCATTTAAAAAAAAAGTTTACCAATACCTTCTGGTTTTGAAGCACTTAAACAGTTTTGCTAGCAGTTGGATTTGGATCAATGCATCTATTCCTTCTTGGATACAACATAGCTCCACGGCTGTTCTAACTACATTGTCAGTTGTTTCAAATCATTAAACACATGTGGTAACCTCTCTGAGAACTTTCCTTGAGCACTGAACTGTGAAGTCAGGTCCCAATACCGGATCCCTGATTAAGCAACTGTAAAACCTTCTTACCCACAGACCTGTAGGTAGGTACCTGACCTGGTAGAGCTGAATGTTTTTAAGGGAACCAGATGAAATCATGATAGCCGAATGATTAGACAAAGGAGATGGAGAACTTGGATTCTGATCTTGACTTTGTTTCTCCTTGAGTGATCTTTGCCAAGATTTGATTTTCCCTTTCTATATAAAGATAATAACAATGACCCATCTCCCAAATACTGTATTGATCCTTGGCTGATTAATATTACAAAAGAGGTGGAAGATCCCTAGAAGCAAGCAGACTGCAGTTGTTGCGCTATTATTACACTATCTAAATCATTCATGGGGAAAGTCTTTCACACTGGAGTACTTACACTTCCTGTCCACAAGTTTTCATTTTTCCTTGAAAGTTTGGAGTATACCATTATCTCTTCCCCTGTTTTGAAGTTAAGATACCGGCAATCAGGCCCTGTGTAGTCTGCAGTGGCTTGAACTCTGCTCATTGCCGCTGGAATAGTACGTAGAAAGAAAGAAACAAGTAAGTACTGCAGCCGTTGTGTCTGAAGTCAGATAGGTTACTGAAGAAGTTGATATAAATCAATGCATTAAGATATTTGTTAATACATCAATATATGCTTTGTTATCAGACTAATCCATTTGTATCATCAAGTGAAAAGCAACTGTTGCAAAAAGCAGCCCTGTCCTGTTTTGGGTTTTTTTTTTTCCTATTTACTACAGACATCAAGGAAAAAAGCTCTTGTCCTATATGGGCATTTTCCAGTCCTTATTCAGCCAAGCTTTGAATGCTGAAGTGCACATGGAGAATTGGCAAGCTCAACTACTAAAGCCAAATCTAAACAGCTAAAAAAATATTTCCCAGGCATATTTATAATTTATATTTATAATTGGTATATTTTTTGAGTTAAATCCAGTAATTATTTCAGGGATTTTGCCCTCTATTTTGAATACATTTATCTTTTGATAATAGGTAGAACAAACAGAAGAAAATAGGTAGGTTTAAGCAATATAAACCTTAAACACATTGTCAAAAAGAAAGCTTCCAATTCAGTTTGAATGACTTAAAATTCTCTCTGTCTTCACCCCTGCCTCCCCACAGAAACCACTACTGATGTGCTCTGGTCAGTTTGGAGCCCATTCCGCATGCTGTTCCACAAAGACATCTCTGAGCATCCAGAACCCACTGAAGGCAGTATGGCTCCGCAGGAAAACAAAGATCTATCGGCAGAAGAAATCTAAGGTCTCTTCCACTTCAGGACAAGCTATCTGCATTGAAAGTGCAAAAATTAAGGCTGCCAAACCCATGGGGACAGCTTAGAAAAAGCTTCAACTACATATGATTATGACAAGTTTCACAAAGGTAATCAATGAATAATAAATGGGGCATTATTTATTGCTCCCCACTTGTGATTCAGTGGCTCTGCCTCCTGCAGAGCTATTTACTCCCCAGGAACTCCATAACTAGTTACTACTCTTACTTCATGTTAAAGAAGAGAAAATAAGCAAAGAGGATGTCTTAACAGTGTCTTTTGTAAGAAGGATTACAAAAAAGCCAAACCAAATAATTTGCTTACAGTAGAAAAAAAGAGTGTTATGCAGAATGGGCTGTGAATGTACTATAAACACAAGACGTACAGTCTTTCCCAGTTTATAACCTACCATTTTTGTTTTTTTTAAATTTCTTTTGTACCCATAAAGAACGAGTAAAAATAATGTAAAGCTGCTTTATCCTGCCCGTTTTGAGGAAACCTAGGAAAAACTAGCTATTCAAGAGTATTTTTAATGATCTTTGGTCTTTATATACTTACACAACGCAACCCAGCAATTTTTTTTTTCTTTTTGCTTGAAAAGTTTGTAACATTTGCACATATGCCATAGACTCCTTTTAGAAAACAAAAAAACCAAAACTTTTTTACTTACTCTCACATTCCCGATCACCACACTTCTTCCATTCTGAAAGTACCTTTGTACTCTGCAGGCTTGTTAAAAATGAAATTCCTAACAGCAAAATTCTTTGATCCAAGATCCTTAACATTTTAGTTTAAATCTAGAATGCACTGGAACTGTGGAAACTGCATACACGTGCGGTTAGCAAGAATATTCTGCATTATTTTTCTTAGCCTAACAAAACATTGCAAACAAACTTATAATCCCGTTTTTCTTCCCTCATCTGCGTAAACAGAAGTACACTATGCTAGCCTACTAACAATCTGCAAAGTCAGGTGTCCTGATTACACACACATGTTTAATAATTAACTATGTTCTGATAGCTAAACTGATGTTTTGAATACAAAGAAACTAGTTCTGGTCACATCAAAATTTAGCTTCTATTTACCTATTTAGCCTTTAGGTTCTTTTGTGCTGAGTTTGTGGAACACTGTGTTAGGGGAAAGTCAACAAGAGTTGTATTAGGATTTTTTCTGGATTATGAATGCATTTTTAATATACATATTCCATCTGATTTTAAGAAGGACTATCAATTTTATGCTTATATCGATTTGCATGATTGCTAATATAGCTACTGACAATTTTCTAGCTTTTTTTGTTTAATAACCTATATTTTTTGTGTACTGGTATATTTTAGATTATTTATAGGTGGTCATTGGGAACTCAAAAAATTTTTTCCACGTGCTTTTTTTGAGTTTTCTCATGCCCTTGATACTAAGTACAATCCTTTAGCATTACTTACTCGACTCCAAAGTCTTTTAAAGGTGCTTGTCAGTTTTCAGGCTCTTAAGACAACTAGAAAATCCATATGCTATCTCTACATCATATATCACAGAGCAATATACCAAAGCCAAGCAGATGATATGTCCTGCTTTTTAAGGAATATCCTCTTAGCAACCTATTATCCAATATGGAGTTAGAAATAATGTTTTCTCAAATACTAAAGTAGTGATTATGCAGGGAGGCTTGCGTTACAAGTTAAGCTTTGCTTCAAAGGCTTCACGTCATTGCCCTGCTCTTCCTCGGTGACCAAAGCACAGTGTGTCTCCTTTACCCACAGAAGGGGCTTCACCTTTCCTTTCCCACCCTCCTGTATGAGGTAGCCTCTTCTCTCTCCCTTCTTGATAGCACGCCCAAGAATCTGCACATTCCTTCCAACCTGATAACATCGGCAGTCATATGCTTCCTAGGAGGCCTGCCCCTCCTTCAGTCCTGAGCATGACTCACACAGAATTTGCTCTGCTTTCTCTTTCCGTGATCCTAAGCTGTATCCTACTTGCAGCATAGTTCCCCCTCCCTCCTGCTCCACAACTCAAACCTGCCAGACACTGGTGCTTGGCCCAGTCTACTGAGGCAGCAAACAGACCATCTACTGGAAGCTGGGAGAGCGGGCACCAAGTGAGCCAGGGTCACATTAACCAGCAATGTCCTGTAAACAAAAAACTCCCCACGCAGTAGATGACATGTCCTCCAGTTGCAATCTAACACTTTGGCCCCTTCCTTCACCACATGACCTGGTAGTCAGACAGCCCTATCCTATGACCTAGTACACCAGCTGCCCCTGCTGTTCGGTAATCCACCCAGATAGCTGTCTTCTATGCCAGGGAAAACATGCTGTAGACCAGCGCCCCCGACTCCTCACTCCTGACTAGCTTTGGTGCAGCCCCATGCCCAGCATCAACATTCTCTCCCCTTCACTTCCCTGGGTCTTGTGTTGCTTAGAGGGTCAATGATCTGGGACCTTCCCTGGGGTCCTCTAGGTTTATCTGTAGGAGGTGAAAGGGAAGAAATGGAATACCAAGTGGCTAAAACATGACAAATGCAAAGGAACATGGTGAGCAAAAAAGTAGGATGGGTGGGTTTTTTTTTTCATTCCCAAATCTCTACAGATTAGGACAGATTGGTGAGAAGGAATATACAAGAAATTTATATTGGGGGCTCTCTATATATACTAAGTGTTGTACAGTATCAAAAAAAGGACGTTTTTATCCCACCAAGATTAACAACTGGTCAGAAGAGTCTCTCATGATGTTGCCCACCAGCCATGGGACAAAACACAATAATGGGCCTAGAAAGATTAACAGTCCGTTTTTGAGCCTGCTAGCATGGAACTGATTCACCTAAAAATGGAAAAGCCAGGTATTCTGACACTTAAAATTACCTACTTCAGCAACTTTGTGTGGGAGAACAAACTATCAGACCCACACCTTGAGATCTGTTCATTATTACTTGTATTTGTCAAAATAGCTCTGAAAACGGCTCTGACTTCTGTTTCATATGGATACCCAAACTAATTCTCAAGTCTTTATATGGAGATAAAATGTTGCAGCTCATCTTAGCTACTCAGTTTAATCTGCATCTGCAATTTTTAAGTTATTCTGGGCACTGCTCATTGTGTAGCTTAGTCTCAACAATCATTCTTCTAGGTTTGAAGCTGTTGAAAGTCTGATGAGCACTGCTCTGATCTTTGTTCCTCTAGTAACTTCAGTAATAGATCATATTTATATAAAATATTCTTTTCTTCTGGGTATAAATACTATACTTGCAGATGTTATACAAGCATAACTTCTAATCACCTTTGAACTAAAGTCAAAGATAAAGATTCATTGAGTTTATCATAGCTGGCTTCCAAAGGACAAACTTGGAAGCTTTATAGCAGATAAAGAGAGGCTTCAGTTAATTTCTGTTCTGCAGAACTGAAGCAACAAATATGAGTACTGTTACACATGTGAAGACAAACGATGCTAATGAAAAAGATCTATTTTCAACAGCTTTCATTCAGATGAAACTATTAACTTATTTGTGATGACAGTTTCGTAACTTTAACTACCAAGCTAGAAATGCAGAGATCCCTTATGATGCATTGAAACTCACGGAAGGATCAACTCAGAATTAATGGTGTAACTTAAATAAACCGAGTAGTATGGCACACTGGATAGCTCTTTTAAGACATGGCTTTGTGTAAGTAAAAGAAATGTTGCATTTCCTAGACTATTCAGAATCTGCATTAACCATAAAGATCCCAAAGCAAATCGTAAGTTGGTAAAAGTTCTCCTAAGTACATTAAAGTCAACATCTATTTTGTAATGACAGTATACACAGCTTTGGTTATATTCTTATGATAGCACCAAAAGGCCCCATATAGAATGTAGTGTTTCACTGCCTAGAATATGCACTAATACATGGAAGAATATAGTCCATGGCAAAAGCACTTGAAAAACATAGTTCTCTTGACTTGGGACATTTACATGAAGATACAGACCAACTTTTACATTGATTCAAATATCATGCCAAAAAGATTTTTTTTTTTTTTTAAACAAGTTATCTTTTAAAAATTAGTAAGTCAAAGGGAGAAAAGGAACACCAATTCACTCTTCCAGTTAGACAAATCTAAACAGGTCACAGTCATTCATCATCCAGATTTAAACCAACTTTTTCAGCCAGGATAACAAATAGCAAGAAAAAGCCATTACTGGTTCCCTATTACAAAAACGGTTACAAGCATGACAACTAACAGTGTGTTTCTAGAAAATCATGGAACTTGTGACTTATATTACCTTGAATTTTGATAATACATTTCCAAGCTTTGAATGCCTCACATTTTGCCATATAATAGAACACTGGCACATAATAACTGCCTGAAGGTTTGTGGTAAAACACAGGTTTGCTATAAAACTTACATGGGGGGGTGGGGTGGGGTTGGGAAGTATAAAAGCTCTAACACCAACCTCCCCCCTGCCAAAACCCAAAAAACAACCGCCTTCTAAAGTTACATTTAAAGCTAGAAGGGACCATCTGATGGAAGCACTCCGCAAGACAGGCATAGAGCATACATGGCATGTTGCCCACTCACATAAAGCATCTCTGCTTCATTCTTGGTTTTTCCTCTTCTCTATTGTTCCTTTTTCCACATGACTTGAGCAAAAAGAGAACAAGGCATTTTTCCTTTGATCTCTACTCACCATTATGAGGACGGAAAATAAGAAAATATTTTTATCATTTCCTACCCCTAGTGCTATCTGCACTTAATTCTCAGAAACCCCAGAGTTGCATCAAATTCAGTCTTGAAATTGCAGCTATTTGAAACAGTAGACTGGGAGCAGAGGAAGGAAATTGCAGCCATGGTCTCAGCCCTATCCACAGCTCTGAAATTGTTTCAGGGTAAGAGGATGGGACCTTGAGGGCAAACGTAACAATTACTAAAAATACTACTGCTTTATAAAGACACAGGTCTTTATGTAATATTATGCTAATAGTATCCTGTTATCTTATGCTATTTCTGTAGCGGAAGAGTTGGAATACCTAGCTTTTAGAAAACTTCATTCTTACAAAGTTATCACACAGATGTTTATGTTGCATTGAGCTGCTTAGATTTAGCAAGGCTACCTATGAATTAAGAGCACAGCTTAACCACGGCAGTAAGTTGCTTCTAAGAAACATTAAACTATCAAATACATCACCAGCTTTGTACTCAGCAACAAAACTCCTGTATTTTCACCTCGTCAAAAATACACGTCGCAGCCTAACACAATGTAATCAGTCCAATCCCTAGTTCAGTTAACAGGACCCACCACTTTTTTTTTTTTTATTATAAACCCTGTTAAGATGCTCCTCTGAAACACTGGCTTCTGACTAGCAACTTACTTCTCTAGCTTTGAATGACTACAGTATCGGCCATTAAAATCTGTATGGTAAATACACTACAGCGCTGAATCACTCCGTTAAGCTCAAAATAAGAAACCTTAAAAATACTCAACGTTAGGAAAAAAAAGATGTGACAAAATGAAAATGGCTTCCAAAGGTAATTTGACTGAATCACTCCGTTAAGCTCAAAGTAAGAAACCTTAAAAATACTCAACATTAGGAAAAAAAAGATGACAAAATGAAAATGGCTTCCAAAGGTAATTTGAAATGTGAAGTTAGTTGAAACATGAAAACCAGTAATGTTTAGTCAACTACTCAGTATAAAAGTTCCTTGTGGTAAACTGCTGTGTTTAACATTTTCAATAAGGCGTTTCATCTTTTGCTTGTCCTTCAAAAAAGGCGGCATGTCAAACCACTACATTCCTCTGGAGGGAAGGAAATATGGTTGGAGACTACTGATGAGAACTAGAAACGATTCTCAGTTGTAGAGAAGCAGAGGCAGATAGGATGTTGACGTAGTAAATATACTGACGGATCAGAACGAAGCATTGAACTTGTGGAGAAGGGCGAAGCTTTCCCACTGTGTCTGTGCTGAAAGAACACTCCAACCCTCGCTAGATCCATTCCTTTAAGCCAGGAAGTTCAGCACTTAGAACACAGAAGTCTGTCACTACCCTTGAGTTCAGACAAAAAAAATCCAAAAACTGATGCTCTCCCAAACTAGAACTTTGTGAAAGTCTGCTCTGTGTTCCAGAAAATGGGGTATAAATGGCATTTTTGTACACTAAAATAAGCTTACATGTAATTTCCTTTCCAAAATCCTTCTAGGACTTCCCGGTCTGCAATTTGGCATGTGAGAATTCTCTGCCTGCCAAGACAACACAGCTTATAACACCATTTCATATTCAGGTAACAGGCATTAATTAAAGCTTATAAGAACAATTGTGGATACAGAGCTTCTAAGGTAGTCACCTGCAATTATGACTCATGCTTTAAATTTAGAAAGGCTAATGTAATACATCTGTGTTATAGAAAACATCATAGGCATTGAGAGAGTAGTCTACAAAGCCACATTTATTTGCACATGTACAGAACAGAGCGACAGATGTTACTGTTTTCCATACAAAATTATATAAAACCAGTATTCACCTTCATAGATAACACCATACCACTTTAAGTCGTATTAAATACATTCAGAAAGCATTCTTGCACGCACACAACATTAGTATTAGGTAGTCCCAGGTAACTCCAACACTGCAATGTAATTATTCCTAGTGGTATGAAGGGATCAAAGATTAGTCTGCAACTAAAATAAAAGGAATCCTGGTTGAGAAGCAAGCTGAAGTCGTTCCTCCACTGGCCATCAAAAGCAAGGACCATCATTAAACAGATTAACTGTCTCCAGAACATAGGTGTAAATACTACCAAAGCACCTGCAGAGGCATGTAAGAGTGGTGTTCCAGACTGACTTGAGCTATCTTGGCCAGTGTTAACATTCCCATTTAATCACTGCTTGCCTATGAATAGGAAAAAGTTTTCTAAAACTGGAAGATAGAATTGAGTAAGAGCTTGTGATTACAGAAGAAAACAAAAGGTATAGATCCAAAACAATTACTCTCCCTTCCTACCCAGCACTGGAGAGATTACTCCCTTTACTGGGTCTCAAGTTTCCCATTCTTGCAAGGAATAGAGGGGAAAAGCAAAATTTTACGTTTCCTGCAATATTGCCTCCCTACATATGATCTAAAAAGGGAATTTAATTGTCAACAGGACATCTCAAACAATTTATTTAAAACGCACATTTATTTCTACAAAAAAAAAAGTGTATGATACAGAAGAATTGATCACACCTACTTAAAGGTTTACCTATTAAAATATACAGAGGATCTGAATGAGTACAGGATATTTAAAAAAAGATGCAAAGGAGTGTTAATCTTTTATTTTTACATTTTCAGGAACTTCACATAATTTTGGTACGTAACCTTTTACAAAATTATGTAAAAAGTACAAGAATGCCTGGTAAACAGTCTGCATTTTTCCAAAAGATTTTTTACAGCATGCAATTCTTAAGGCAGCCTTCTCCTCCTCCTTACAAGGAATCCTTTCACTCAAATAATCTTCTGCTGCAAAGATTAGGCTAAGGAAGCTTGGTCTCTTCTGTTAACGCCTTTTGTCTTTCCTGTCTGATTTACGGTCTCTTTCACTCCGTGAAGTTCTCTTGCCTGACCGACTACTTTCTGATATAGACCTCTTTCTGTCAGATCTTGAACTTTTATCCTTTGAGCTTTTGGCATCTCTGCTCCCACCTTTTGA